CAGCCCGCTCAGAGATGTGTATAAGAGACAGCAGTCAAGGTGGTGTAACCCCTTAATAAAAATGTATAGATCAATGGCCGGCGTTCAGCAGAAAAAGCAGCTTTGCAACTGTTATAAGATTCTTTAATATGATTGGTTCTCGCCTTTAATTCTTCAGTGGATATAAATGTATAAACCAATTGTATTAAAGGTATTAAAGAGCCTTGCAACAGTTGTGAAACTTACTTTGCTGAACGCAGCCGTTGTTAACTAATGAATTACTTTTTTGTCTATAATAAAATAATTCATAAATTTGGATTCATAAATTCCATTGGTTAACTTTAAATCTTTCTCATTTATCAAAAACTATTGCAGCCTCGACATTTTGATATTAGACGTTTAGATCGATATTCCTTTTAGATACTCTTTAGATATCATTTTATCCATTTTATCTCGATCTCAGAAATATTAACAGATGTCACGGTAAGTCTGAGACACCTGTACTATTTGAGGCATATAATATTTGTAATGAATCAATGTTTTATGTATAATAAAAATAAATAAACGTGAAATAAAATTTCTTTGTACAAAACTTTGTTTTAAAGAAAACTGACTTTAAAAATTCATTTGAATACGCGTACGATTGAACTTATTTTCTGTTAATTCTATTCACTTATGAGAAACTCTGTATTTCAATGGCATCATACAAATGCATTTACAGTAGGTTATTAGACAGCCTACAATGAATAATTTTCGTATTGTACATTATATCTAGAACTGAAAAATCAACTACAAATTTGAAAAATAATATTTGTCCCGGAGAATTTTCTTTAACAGTGTTGATGATATAATTGTTGATAACGCCCACGATTTTCATCAACATGATAAAAAAAATTAATTTTAGTTAGCATTTGTTTTACTATTTGTATATCTACATTTTGAATGATTACGATTACAAAATCATTCTGAATAGTATCTACTTGCAACAGAAGCAGTACATTAGTATATCTTCTATCATTGTATTGTGATATCGTTACTATTGTGATAACTCCAGTGAAAAGAGAAAGAAGAAAGCAAGATAATAGAATGAATAAAAAATAAGTTGTATCACTATTAATATTTACATTAACGTGAAATAATCGACAATGAATATTGAAATGAATGTTTATCATATCTGTTTATCAAACTAATTGTATGCAAATTTGACGAATTTTAAAATTGTCTTGAAAACAAAGTCTTGTATGGAAAAATTTATTTCATACTTTTTATTAATTTTTACGTGGAGAATCATCTTTCGGTTTACAAATTACGTTTTAAATTTTAAACTTTTATTTTATATGAAATATTGAGGCTTTAATTTAATATTGATTTTAATATAATCTAAAATTAATTTTTTTCTACTCATAATAATTATCATTAATTATTGTGTTTACATGCACTATTTGATAAAATGAATAATTCATTAACATTTTTGCTTGCTGGAAATCAGGTCCACCAAATCCGGAAAACGTGCCAGACGATGGAAAACTGAAATCAGAAATGATGGTGAAGGATAATAGACGATATTACTTGGACCTCAAGGAGAATTCTCGCGGCCGTTTCCTGCGGGTGAGTCACCCTGTATGTACCAGCCAATGTACTTACTTTCTACGCTAAGTCATAAGAAGACTCTTTCGTCGGCTTTCGTCTCAAGAGGTCTGCTCTTTTCGAAAAATGAAAAGATAAACCGAGTTCTTCTAGAATTGTTGATAAAAAAAAGGGTTATTTAATTAACGATATTCTTTTTTTTATAAATCTAAACAGTACAGCGGATTGGAACAGAATATCTTGTGTAATATTTGTGTCACTTTCCCAGGTATCGCAAACGATAACACGGGGTGGACCCAGGACTCAGATTGCAATACCAGCGCAAGGTATGATAGAATTTCGTGATGCATTAACGGATCTTCTTGAAGAATTTGGAACGGACGACGGTGGCTTCAAAGGCGATTTGCCGGAAGGTCGTTATATGCGTGTGGATAGCAAGAATTTCTATTTTGATATCGGCCAGAACAATCGTGGCATCTATATGAGAATTTCTGAGGTATATACATCAATTATTCACATAAGAAACGAATAACAACATAAATTGAAACTGTTACCTATTTTTTTTGTATTATTTTTTTTTAAATCTTTACAAAAAAAGTCTAAATTCTAATTGGTTAATGGTCACCTGGATATGAAATTATGAGAAAGAGAATTTGTGTTTATAAAATTAGGATATTTACTATTCTAATAGAATAATTAAAAAAATATGTTCAAATATTCAAATATTAAATTTATTGAGACTCAAAGAATTTTCATCAAAATTGTTTTCAAAGATTTTATTTTAATTTTCCAAGTATTATAAACGTACGTAGTATTAAAGTGTTAGATTTTTATAAAGGTATTTTATATAAGTATCGTTTTTGAATTTTTATGTTTTTGAATTAATTTTATTTTATTTAAAAGATCTTTTCTTTAATATTTTCAATATCTTTTTATAGCAGATTCTATTTTTTTGTAATTCTTAAAAATAAAAAGCTTAAAATTTTACATGATATGAAATATCTATTTTATGAAAGTCTTTCACTTTTTAATTGCTATTTTAAAAGCGTATTTTCGTACTTTAAAAGAGCTTTTAATTCTTCATAATTATATAAATAGAAAAGATAAAACTTGGGAAGTTTAGAGAATAATTAAATACATACATAGAAATTTAGATAATAATTAAATAAATTTTTTAACTTTATATTTTATTTTTAGAGAGCTACAGAGACGATATATTATCTCTGACAATAGAATGGAAATATTTGTTTGATTCTTACAGAGGAGTACACAAAAAGTAGGAAAAAAGATAAACATAAAATTTTGCTCTGAAACTTTCAACAAACATTTTACTGGTGTCTAAGAACGTAACAGTAAAAGGATTTTGCGGAGAAATGGCCAAAAGTACCAATATAGCGGATTGGTCTGTATCGTTCCCATTGAATTTATGTCTTACTTTGCATCAGTAACGTTATATTTGTGCGAGAACGCATAAATTGGAAGACGCGACAAAAATAGACTAATAGACGAAGAGAAATATACGAGTATGAATTAAAAGAAAGACTATTCTGTGAGAGTGTTATGTACTTATATGATCTGTGTATGGAGACTGTATAGGTGAAAGTAGGAAGATCATTGCGCGACTTTTTAAACGTTCTGTGGTAAATAAATATATAACCCAGGGTGTTCCAAAAAGATCGGGACCCCAGAATATCTTAAAAAATATAAGTTTTACAGAAAAGGGTTTTGGACAAAAGTTGTAGGGTTTAAAAAGATCTACATATTTATACTGATCTTATTGACTTGATCTTGGTGGTGTCGCCAAGGTCAGGTAAAGTTCATATTATTTTTTTTAAATGGAACACTATTTTATACTCCAGAATCTAATAGCTGGTACCAAGTGCTTTCTAAAGCACTATAATAAAGTATTTTTTGATTAAGTAAATCTCGAATTATGAAGACTTGCGATATTGATTTGTTGCATATAAGACAGAGTTTTGACATGGCAAAGAACAAAATTCAATAACACATACCGAGAAAGATTCTGACTCAAGATGAAGGTGTCAAAAAGAGGGCACACCGAGAAAATCACCAAATTATAAGATAAAATTCGATTCAAAACGAAGCAACTCTATTTATGTACGTGACGCAACTACGGAACCGAAAGAAGGTCGGAAAATCAACTGGAATACACAACAAAAATAAACATATATATCTACTTCGTTTTGAATCGAATTTTATCTCATAATTTGCCTTCTTTTTGTCACCTATTAACATTAGGGTAAAGTAGCGTAATTTGGTCAACATTTTTTGAACGCTGCAATTCGCATTAGACAGTTTGTCGTTTATGTCATTAAATTGTCATTGTATTAGCTCACTTTTGATGAGACATAGAGCTGAATAGATGTGTTAATTTTTTGCTAATTTTTGTTTATTTTTTTTTGTTAAGTTGACCAAATTACGCTATACTCCCTTATTGATGCAAAGTAATGCAGATACAAATCCAGTTGGATCGGTACAGACCACTCCGCCGTATTAACAGATGGATTTCTCCGCAAAATCCTTTTATGTTCTAAGATACTAGTAGAATGTTTGTTGAAAGTTTCAAAGCAAAATTTTATGTTAAATTTTTTTTCTACTTTTTGCGTAAAAATATTTAATGATTTTCGAAGTTGCTAATTATAAATTTGAGATGGACATTATAATTTAAAATGATGGGTTGAGTAAAATTGTCAGCCATTACATGACTATCTTTATTTATATCCTACATATATTTTTCATAGATTTGAAAATCTGCAAGTTAACTCGGTAATTGAGGATAATTTTCAAGTTCTATTTGTAATTAGTTACATCAGAAATCTTCATGAAATGTGTAAAACAATAATTCAAATTTTGTCTGTCATATTGTATCCGCCATATTTTCAATTTTGTAATCAAGTTTAGATTCATAATTATTTGAAAAACGTAAATAAATACGAAATTCAATATAAATTGCATTTAATATAAATTGATATATTAATTCAATATAAATTGCATTTAATATAAATTGATATATTAACTAGGTAATTATATTATTAAGTCTGCCATTTTATATTTTGTAATTTTGACTTTAGACTTTCGTAATCCGTGATCACAAAAACCTATAAATACACTATTTATACATAATTTAACGAAAAAAATTCTGTCCATAAAGAAATATATCGTCTCAAAGTGTCATATTTACATTATAGTACATATTAATATATTTATGTTTTTCTAGAGCTTAATTTTGAAGTTTAAAAAAAAATACCTTGCAGCCTACTAAAAGTTAAAAATGCTCTTATTAACCTTCGATTGTCAAAAAGTGACCCCAGCTTTTACTTTGGAGACAGATATCCGAAGTATAGCTTTGGTAGCCTTATCTAGTGGTAATTTGAACATTCTTCTTCAGGCAGAGACGCTGCTCAGCTTAAAATACTCGTTAGTGTGTATTTGGCATTAGAAAGTGACCTTAGGGTAATAGAGATTCCAGTATGACAAAGGCGTTGCTTTTAATCGTGATTGAGTAAAATTTTCTGTGCAAAATTTATCTATAAAACATATGTTTAACGTGTGGTAATTGAAAATTTATTTTTCTTCAATTTAGTTGACAATTTAATCGCGCGCGCGCTTTTTTTAATTATTAAAATGGTATATTTCAAGAGTATATCCCTAAAGGAGTTTATGCATATTAGGCGATTTGGGAAGCACGCGAGAAATGTTGGGTTCACTTTTTTTCTTACTTAATTTCACTTGCTGAATCCGAAAATCGTAGTTAAAATTGTCCTAATATTCGGGAAATATTTTTTATTATATTTTAAATAGAAAAAAGCAATAGTTGATTTTATCACGATGTTAAACCATATCTGCGAATTTCTCTTTGTTTTTTTAAAAATATGGTTTGATGTTACCTAAGCCTTTATCTTTTCTCATCATTGAGAATCTGCAAATTACTTTCAGTTATGTGTAGATTTTAACTTTTGCATTGAAACATCTTAATACATATAAATAATGTAGAAAAATGTTTCGGATAAAAATTATATTGTCTGAAGGGAAACAAATAATGGTAAAAATAATTTTTCAAAAAATTCTATTTTTCAAAGTCATATTAAGATTACCGCTATTTTTTTATATTAAATTATAGTATATATTTTTAATATCATTTCTTTAATTATTTTGCATGTAAAATTTGTAAAGCTATCAAAAATTCAATAGTTTATTATGAGATATTTTATACTTTATTATACCATATTTTGACATAAAATATGAAATATCCTATAAACTATTGATTTTTTAATAATTGTACCTTAATATTTTTATGCACAAAATAATTAGATAAATAGATTGTAGTAAAGAAAATACTCAATTGCTTCTAAAAAAATATGCAGTTTATGATATAGAACTACATATTTTTTTTAAAAGCAACTGAGTTTTTTTTTTATACCAATCGATTTATCTTATTATTTTGTACATAAAAGTATTAATGTATAATTATCAAGAAATCAATAGTTTCTGAAAAATTTCATATTATATCGAAATATGGTATAATAAAGTAGGTATAAAATATCTCGTAAACTATTGAATTTTCGATAGTACATACAATACTTTACAATACTTTTAATATGCAGAATAATTAAAGGAATCATACTATGTAAAAAAATTATATATTTTGATATAGAAAATGGCGGTAACTTTTATATGACCTTGAAAAATTGATTTTTTGGGGGGAAAATTATTTTTTATTATTTGCCCCCCCTTTAACCGTTTAATTTTTATTCGAAACATTTTTCCTTATTATTTATACGTTTCGAGATATTGAGTTGGCAAATATAAGTTCGTTCGGTTTTTGCTTCAGTGCAGATTCATTCCGATTTACTTTTTTTTTCTCGGCGCTAATGCACAATTCGAATGTTAATTTGTTTTACACAATCTGTCTGTCAATTTTGGTGTGACTAACTTCAATATTGTTGCGTGTTGCGTAGTTGTGAAAATGTAAATAAATAACGTGCATTATCGTTATATTTTGCTTTATTATATTAAAAAAGGCAAACGATCTGCAGAGGCTCATAGAAAGATATGCCGTGTATAGGGGGATGATGATTTAACCGAGAGCGCACATGCCGAAAGTGGTTTGTCAAATTCCGTTTTGGAGATTTCGACGTCAATGATGCGCCTCGCTCTGGTCACTCGAGATTGATTCAAGTGACGTCAAGACCATCATCGATAAAAATCCATGCCAATCAGTACGGGAGATTGTTACGGCACAGAATATATTTCATTGAAGCGTAGAAAACCATTTGCGCTAGTTGGAATACGTTTTTCAAGCTCAATGTTTGGGTGCCGCATAAATTAACCGAGGCCAGAATTTGAATCAATCTCGGTCGAGCGATCGGAGTGGAGCGCATCTTTGACGTCGAAATCTCCAGAACAGAATTTGACAAACTACTTTTGGCATGTGCGCATCTCCATATCGTTTGTCTTTTTTTAAATATCTAATAGAGTAAAATATGACGTTATTTATTTCCATTTTCACAGCTACGCAGCATGCAACAATAGCAAAGTTAGCCACATCAAAATTCAATGACAGGTTGTGTAAAGCAAAAGTACATTTGTTGTATGTACAATAGCGCCGAGAAAAAAAGAGTAAATCGGAATGAATCTGCACTGAAGTAAAAACCGAACGGACTTATTTAACAACCCAATATTTCGATGTAAAAGTTAAAATGTATACACAACTTAAGGTAAATTGCAGATTCTCAAGTCCTGAGGAAGAATGAGGGCTTAGGCAATATTGAAATATATTTTTATAAAAACAAAAAAAACTTGTAGACATGGTTCAACAAAGTAGTAATACCAGTAATAAAATCAACTGCTGCTTTTTTCTGTTTAAAATGTAAAAAAAAAATTTCTCGGACATTAAGATAATTTTAACTATGATTTTTGGATTCAGCAAGAAATTGAGTAAGAAAAAAAGTGAACTTAATGTTCCCCGCGTGTTTCCCAAATTGCCTAAAATGCATGAATCCTTTTTAGCAAAAAAAAAAAAAAAATTTTTTTTTTTTTAATGGAAGTTATTTTTTTCGCAAAAAATGGTCTTTCGAAATTTACTTTTTTTAAGAACTAGCACTAAAGACGCGCGCTTTATTTAGCTGCACTTTTTACTTTTTACTATAATTACAATTACACATCAACTTCAATGCACGCAACTCTCGAAAATATGCCATGACAGCCGCTCACGAAGTAAGCACAGCGAGACAACCAATCAACGTCACGGAATAGTCAACAATAAATTTCGAGTTTTCTCGATAATTCGACTTCGACTTAACATGCCTTTTTTTTAGATAGGATTTTTTTTCAGTATGTTGCAACTTTTCTAAATTTTATACAATTAAATCAGAATATATTCTACAATGTTTAAATCCTATTGAAGAATTTTTGCGATCCAGTTAAATTAATCTTTGTTGAATGATTCGCCAATATAAATGTTAATATTCAGCGATATTTTTATTTATTTGAAGTGCGACCTTTTTACAATTCATGGCTCTTAAAATTCTGTTCTATTCATTTCTCAAATGCCGACATATATCTGTTCTTTTTTAAATAAAACACTCAGAGAAACGCTAATCAACAAATCTGTCGGTTGCTAAGATTCACAAAATAAACTAAAGGATATAATATAATTAATATGGGCTGCTAAAGTATTTTAAACGTAGATCACATAAAGAACCAATTAAAATTCATGAACAGTTTTTAAACGGCAGTTGCATAAAATTGGCCTGGATAAATTGATCCCATTTGATAAACTTTTGTTAAAAAAAAGGTGACAACCAAAGGTTAACATGCCTACAAATTTAATTAAAAATGTCTGAAATGTCTAAGAAGGAAATCTTTTCTTGATTTGAGACTTTTTAAAAGTATTTATGTATACATTTATATTAATAAAAAATCTACATTTATTATTTTCTTAATAATAAGTGAAACTAGATATAGTGACTATAGTGAATAATACAATTAAATAGAGGAGCGCCAAATAGGTCGAGACTGGATTTTGGTACTTAATAATATTTTTATGTAAATTTTAAATGTTATAAATATTTTTAGTAATATGAACTGCTCGTCGATTGTTGTTGGACATATAACGCAATCATTGAAGCTAATAGTAAAAGGAATAGTAAAATTACAAATTTAAATTTATCGCCAATTTAATAATAATGATGCTAATAAGTATCATCATTAAAATACTGCGAAGAACTTATTGTGAAAAATACATATTACCTCAGCCAAGATTCAAATCTAAAACCTGACTATTTAGAACAAACGTTTTTTTTTCAATTCGATCATTGAGACGTCTTTAATATTTTTTGCCATAAGTTTTTCGCAATATTTTAATAATAATTATTCATTATTATTAAAATTAATGATTAATCATCTTATTCCAGCTTTAGTGTATGATAGCATTATAAATCTAACAGTAATGAGCGTGCAGTTTATGTAACCGAAAATATATTTAACATTTACAGAAATATTATTAGACACAATTCAGTCTTGATTATTATTTTTTAAATCTGAGCCAAATAGAATAAAAATAAAGAAAAACAAACGAGCTTTTTAATCAATTTAATTAATTTTATGCCTGCGATAGTAAATAATGCAAATTGCATTTTTATAGGTGAAAACAAACTTTAGGACAGCCATCACCGTACCAGAAAAATCTTGGGCACGTTTCCGTGATATCTTCGCAGATTATTGTGAGAAAATGAAGGAAGGCGGTGGTGTCAGCAGCAGCAGCAGCGGTGGCGGAGGAGGAAATGTATTGTCCGAGGGGAAAGGCTCGGTGGTGGCACAGGTACCATCGCCATCCTCGAATACGCAGCCTAATCCCAATCCAAATTTAGACTCTCCTTTAATCAAGTGAAAAAGGCTTTAACTTAACTCGAACATTTGGGAATTATAACTCGTAAACTCGTTTTCAAGTCATTAAGCGAAGAAACGGAACTTGTCAGAGTCTATGCCATCGTCGTCGTCATCGTCATATTATTCATCGGCTATGACATTGACATGATCATCGGTATAATCGTTACACCGTCGTCATCGAGATCATTTATCGTCATCGTCGCCGTCGCCGTCGCCGCCAGATCATTATCATCGTCACATCGTCACAACCGTCATATACTTGCCGCTAAGCGCAAACACCAAAACTCGCCTGAAATATGACCATTATATCGCAGAGGGCATCAACTGATTGTTGAGGTATATTCATATAACCACAGATTTGATAAAAAGAACAAAACAAAATGAAAAATGGATGCGTGACGTGGTTATTAATACACAATTGTTGGCACGTGAAGACGAAAAAAGGAGGAAAGAGGGAGAGATGATGATGACGATGCGTGTGTGTGTGTGTACGTATGTATGTATGTGTGCGTGCGTGTGTACGTGTGTGCGCGTGTGTGTGTGCGCGCGCGCGTGTGCGCGCGTGTGTGCGTGCGCGCGCGGAGGGAAAATGAGTCACTGCCGCTCGTGCGACTAACACAGATAACACACAAAAAAAAAAAAGAAAAAGATAAAAATACGCAACAACGGAAAATCAAGAATATGGTTATCGAGCGATATCTTTTTAGGTGAAACTCGAGTAGCCATCGATTAACGTTATGAGTACTACCGTTCATTTCCTGCTTGCTTTCCATAGACGCACGTTCGTTTGGTTTCACTAATTTTCTTATCGTACAATCTTTTTAATCTTGGACGTTTGGATAATCGCACGTATTTTGCAACTCATGTATGAGTTGAACGTACTGAGAATCTTGAACGGGAAATGGACTGTAGTGTAGATCACGTTACAATTGAATTTGATCGTTCAGAATTTATGAATAAATAGTTGTTATATTAACGATTATATCACGAGTAAGAAAAAAAAAAAACGTGGATTGTCGCGAGGAAAAAAGATAACCAAGATCCATTGTATCTATTGTAGGCAGTATGTACGTCTCTTCGATTTAACTGAAAAAGAAATCTCAAAGTCACTGTAGTTTTGGCGAATACTTGTCGAGGAAATGTCGAAAATTAAATGTAGATAAAATGTTGCTGGATGCAACTCCATTACGTTTGTTCAACGATAAGAGTGCGATTTATTACTATGGTAATAAATTATTAAGTTGAACAGAATATATATATATATAAGGAGAAAAAGATGAAGATGAAGAGATATCCGCATCTTTTATTCGAATATTTATATTACTCTGTCTGCACTAAGCGATATCATACATTCATTTAAAAACTGAACGACATCTCTATTAAAAGTAATGATATACATACATATATATGTATATATACATATATATATATATATATATA